ATGGAAATTTCTGACATGACTCAGCTGATGCCTTTCAAAAGTATATCACATTTTTTGTGATGATTCAAGGTCTTTCAATGAATAAGCATTCTAAACATTATACACTGTGTATGTAAATAAAATCTTGAACTGAATACACAGATCCTAGTATACATCTTGGAACTTGATTTTACTTTTTTACACTGAGTTCATGATAACCAAGTGTTTTCTTGTCATCTGACTCAAGGAATCTAGAGAAGTAGATGTAAGGATATTATCGAGTGCTTTTCTGTAAAATTATTTATCGATTTACAGAACAAGGCCGGCTTCTCCAAATTTTCTTCATATTACTGATGAAGAAACACTCTAATAACACTCTTCTTTATTATTTCAGAGTCCACAGAACAATGCATTTTCAACAACTTACTCTTCTGATGATCAGGAAGTCTGTGATGTGGTGTGTTGGAGATGCATCAGTCACCATTTCAGAAAATTATTTTGTGTATATATTTACTCTAATGTCTGCACATTTGTTTGTTAGAAAGTGATTCCTATTTTTCATATAATTTGAAAAATTTTCTTTGATCTCTCCTTAATTGCTTTAATTTTAACAAAACATCAGGGACAATGAGACCTCAGAATGGCATTGTTGATTTTACAATGAAATTAACAGCTCTGTGCTAGGCTTGCACTTGGCTTTCCCATGAAGCGTTCTGGCCCCTGGAAGCTGGATTAATAAGCTACAACTGGCAGGTGAGAAGAATTAAAACTCTTTCTGAAGTAGGGATGAATAGACATACAAGTGGCTAACAAGCATCCAGCATTCTTCTGTATACAGAAATACAAACGTAGATTACATTGTATTGTACAGTAGATTGTATTTACCGTATCTTTTGGTATGGCTATGGTTCTAAAATGATCTTTCACTAAAGACAAAAAATAGGATGGAACTTATCAAAGAAAAAAATATATGTCCAACATGTAAACAACAAATAAATGATAGCTTTCCAAGCTCTAAAGTATATATATGTTTCAGTTGCTAAAGGTTTTATTTTACATAAGTTTGCAATATTAACACACCCAAGAATCTGTAACTATTTCACCTTAATTCAAACCCAATCTACTCATTCCCATCTGTCTGACTGAATTTTGGCAAGAATCACTAATATAAACCTGTTCCATTTACACTGTAAAATTGTTTAGGAAGATCTACCAACAGTTGTTTTATGTTGTGTTTATTCTTTTCAATCCATAAATAAGCCTGCAGCTTTGTGGTCAACTGTATTTTAATTATGAATATAACCCACATTCTACTGTAATAGCACATGTGAAGCTGCCAAAACACCTCTCAGAAAATACATGCAGATGAGTTAAACACATTTGCTAATTTCACTTTCCTGGCTTTTTATTGCGTATTGGTGATAAGCTAAGGAGATGTCTTTGATGAGTGACAGCCACTGGTCTAACGCAGCAGTATTCAGAATGTGGCAGCAATAATTTTGTTTAGTTTCAAAGTAGCAAAGAATGAGTAACTGCATTTCTTCAGAATGAAAAACTGCATTTCTTCAGAACGAGACTGAAGGCTTTATGGTCGCAAGACCCTTTTACTCTTTTTTAAATTATGGAAGATCCCAAAGACTTTTTGTTTATGTGGACTATCTTTACTGACATTTATCACACTAGAAATTACAACTGAGAAATTATTATATACAAGAACATATAAGCAAACATTCCATTAGCTACCAGACCTATGTCATCATCCTACATCATGTAGCTTGCAGAACACTCCACATACACTCCTGAGAGAATGAGAGTGAAAAAAGTAATAAAAATCATTATTATGAATATAGTTTCAACTGCATGGATGCCTTGAAAGGGTCCAAGCCCCAGACCACACTTTGGGAACTGCTGATGTATACCTGAAGAAGCCAAATGATATTGTTTCATTATGTAACCACATCGTACCAATATCATCTGAATCATTTTATAGATGAGAAAACCTGAGTAGGATGTAGCTAAATAATGACATATGCAAATGTACTTCACACAGTATCTAGTACATAGTAAGAATTCAATAAAAATCAGAATAAGAATTCAAAAAAAGTTTCCTTTTTCAATCCATCATCCATTTAGGAACCAAGATGTCCTAATTCTTTCCCAACTGCAGTTCTATATCTTTACGCCAAATAAAAACCCCAGCGGAGGCAGGGTTTATTTTATAAGGTAAATATTTACGAACAATTTATTCTGTGCAATGAATATATAATAAATGCTATTTTATTCATTGGGTATATTAAAATTATTTTAAAAGACTGCATATCAAAATATAAGTGGATTCACACATTTTCTTTATATTAAGTAGTATATTACTAAATGTTTGAATTTTCCAAGAATAATATTTTTCTTATTCTTACCTTTAAAACGTGTAGATGTCTATTTTCCCTTTCCAAGTGAGTAAAACTTTCTTTACATTTTAGTCTAGGAATTCTGGAATTCACATTTTGGATGGTTTGCAAATTACTGCAGGTTAGTGTACAATATGCTTAGTTTTCTTCTATGTTTGTTTTTTAATCCATGATAGGTTAAGGACTCCCCTAGAGTCTTCAGGTTTTATTAAGTGTTTTTTCTCCCTCTCTGCCTTCTTCTACTTTCTAATTCTAACTTGAAGGCACCTGGATTTCCTCCTCTCTCTTCTCTTTTTTGCTACTCTTCTTCCCTGCTTGCTTCTAAGTTTTAGTGCTCTCAGAACTTAGATTTATCACTATAACCAACTACTGACAATGTTCCTGTCTTTCCATTTTCAGTTGTTTTCAGTAATGTTAGCTTTCCACAAATTTGTGACTAATAGGATTATGGTGGAACTACTTGCGTAAAGGTTTTAGTTTTCTAAGTGCTTTACTAGCCCATAAAAAACAATAACTTATTGTGGAAACTTAAACCAATCATGCCGTTTTTATTTATTTATAGTTGTAAATTATCAACATGACCAAAACAGAATGGTTTCTTCAGATAAATATGGCTCAGAATTTAGCAACAATTTACTCACTCAAAAATGGTATCTAACTCAGTAAAAATAAACTCTAACTCATTAAATCTAACAATAAAACTCAATAAAACTACAAAAACACTCAATAAAAAATCTAAGTCAATAAAATGACATGTTCTTACTACTCATCAAGATCTTAGATAATTGACTTAATACAATGATTTCATATAAGGTCATAAATATTTTAGCTTGGTTTAAATTACAGAATGAATGGGTTTTAGTGTTTTAAATGAAAGCATCTCTTGCCAGGAGTGTTTCAAAGTGTCATTTTGAAATTACAGACCTTAGAGATGAATAAGACCTTGTGTAGTCAATCTAATGAAGTCATTTTACACATGGAGGGCCTGAGGGATACAATGTGTATGTGACTGGCTAGTGACTTGGAAAGTGGCAGAGCTGACTTCTGGTTTTTCCCTTTTCACTGTATTAGGTTGCCTTTAGAGTAAAAACTGTTTGAATTGAAGGGATTTTAGAGATCATCTAATTCAGTGTCATTTTATTTATTTATTTATTTGGAGTTAGGGTCTTGCTTTTGTGACCCAGGCTGGAGTGCAGAGGTGTGATCATAGCTCACTGCAGCCTTGAACTCCTGGGATCAAGTGATCCTCTTACTCAAGCCTCCCAAGAAGCTAGGACTACAGCCATGTGCCACCATGCCTGGCTAATTTTTTAAAATTTTGGAGGGATGGGGTCTCACTATGCTGCCCAGACTGGTCTTGAACCCCTGAGCTCAAGTGATCCTCCTGCCTTGGCCTCCCAAAGTGTTGGGATTACAGGCATGAGCCACCACACTCAGGCACAATCATTTTATAGATGAGAAAACCTGGGTAGGATGTGGTTAAATACTGATGTATGAACATGTTACCTTATACAGTTTTTGGCATGTAGTAAGAATTCAATAAAAATCAGTTTCCTTTTTTGGTCCATCATCCATTTAGGAACCAAAATGTCCTAAACCTTTCCTAACTGTTGTTCTGTATCTTTATGTTGAATAAAAAGCTCAACTAAGCAGGTGTTTATTTTAGAAAGTAAATATTTATGAAGTTTATTCTGTGCAATGAGTATATAATAAATTAGTACTATTTTTTCATTGTGTGTATTAAAATTATCTTAAAAGACTGCATATCAAAATGAGTGGATTCACATATTTTCTTAATAATTAAGCAATACATTACTAAATGTCTGAATTTTCCAAAATACCCTTTTCACAAAGGAAAGAGATAATGATAAATAGTATCTCCTTTCCCACACTGTTATACCTCCTTGCCTGTCCATGTATGTGGCTCACAGTGATGCTGGAATAAGGAAACATGAGGCACTGCTTTGAAAGCCAACACCACCTAAGGAGTCAGAGTCTAATCTGAGGTCTGCCACTTACTAAGGGATGACTTTGGCAAGTTTTACCAACCTGTAATTTCTACATCTGCAATGTGGCCATAAAGAAGCCCAATCTTACAGGATTGCTCTAGGGATTCAAAGATATGCATATATAAATAATCTGTAAAATCTTGTGTCTATACAATATTACATGGTATAGCGAAAAAAATAAACAACTAGAGAATGCAGGAAATCTGCATCCTGGTGCCAGATCATCACTGTCTTGCCATGACACCTTGGAGAAGTCACCTTTTTGTAAAAATCCACAAGATGCAAGGATTAAACTAGATCAGTGTCTCAAAGAATCAATTTGGAGAAAGGAACGTGGGGCAAAGCAGCCCCACTTTTATCCACTTTCTTAGGCTTTCAAATACTATGTCATCCTTTGGGAGGCTGTGGGAGGATCACTTGAGCCCAGGAGCTCAAGGCTGCAGTGTGCTGTGGTAGCGCCACTGTACTCTAGTCTGGGGGACAGAGGAAAACACTCTTCCATGAAGAAAAAAAATTCATATTATTGTATCACCTAAAAAAAGGGTTCTGCTGAAATGAAATAATAAAGTTTCAACAACTTCTTTGAAGAAGATTTTTAAAAAATTACCTTGCATCCTTCACAAGCATGAACTCCATAGTGGAATCCAGAAGCTTTATCTCCGCAGACACGACATTCGATTGCCATGAGGGAGTTGGAAGGCTCTTCGTGAGGCTTATTGTAGAGCTGAGTCTTCTCAGAATAATAAGGTGGAGAAGCAGGCTCCACTTTGATTGCACCTGTGTATGGAGACATGTGAGAGGATAATTATCCCATGAAAACAGTCCTAAAAAGGCAACAAGGCAAGCCACCAAAGTATACCTTCATGCTATATTTGTATTGTTTTAGTGTAAAAACACTGGAGTTAAGGCAAGAAAAAGAAGGCTTTGTAATCACAGGCAAGTTACAACATCTCTAAGCCTCACCTGTAAATATAAAATGGGAACGAGAATTAAGTCTGTGGTTCTATGACCCCCCCAGTACCCTGCAATACTACAGCTCTAACAGACAACATAGAGGATTTGACACCAAGAAGCTTATTTTGCTAGGAAATGTTCTGGTATTCATCACAATATTACATTATACATTTTATTTAAATATTGCATTTTATAAGTACTTTGAAACAACTCTTGCAAAAGAACTACAGAAGGAATACTGCTGTGAAAAGGTCATGGTATGCCTAGCTAGAGATGCATGAAAAATAAGAGCCCAGGTTAGCATTAGTGTTCAGTCAAAAGAGGTGGTTTGTGAAATAATCTTTGACAGAACGTGGCGGAACTTATGGAAGTAAGCCCTACCTTTTACTAGTTAGGCTCAGGGCTACTAAATTTCCATATTAGGCTCTAACTGAAAACCACACAGATAAATATAACTAAGCATATTATTTATCTTAAAAAACCACTAGAAATACAGGAAGTTCTGACTTGTCAAGTAATGATTGCCAATTACATAGTGGTGGCTTTGGAAAACCAGCATGTCAGCCCACACATGATAAAAATCAAGGAAATAGCATCACAGAAATACATTTTATCTCAAAAAGTACAGTACTAGTTTTTCTTGAGTCTGATGTTTTGATGTTGATTTAGTTAATGGCATGAAAATTTATCAATAGGCTACAATGTTAAAACAAATTTGTGCTCAAAAGTAGGTTTCAGTATAAACTTCTGAAAGGACATAACAGAAAAAATGTACTGTAGTGGCAGTAATACAGTGAAGATAAGTTATATAATGTAAGGTGAGACTTGGAATTGTTACTTATTAACTTATAAGGGGCCAAAAGAATTCAAAGTTTGGATGATGGACTCTTAGCCTGAGATACAACTGGCAGTGTAATCAAGGTAGAAAATGTCCCTAAGAAAGAAGTAAGCAAGAAAGGAAAGAAGAGAGGAAGGAAGGAGTGGGAGAAGGCAAGATTGATCTGGGGCCAGCTTCCTTTCTTGCATTTCATAGATACCTAGTATTTCATGGATAAATGGGTGAATAAATGAATGGTGAATGCCTTCTCTATTAGAATTCTAGTGTCTGCAGCACTATTTACTACAGGGTTACTGAGAGATAAGTCCAATTCCAGTCTTAGTAGTCTGAAAAGTGAAAATACACATCATACTTTGGTACTCTTGAAGTTTCAGGTCATACTTATAATCCGCAACCATCGGATCTGTTCTTGTGAATGGAATGTCTTCATAATGTGGAGCAGAAATGCTGGAGAAGTCAACAGTAGTGAAGGGCTTGATGTCAAAGGAGTGGGAGTGGTCGTCCATTACGGAGAGATCCACGGAGCTGATCCCAAAGTTGGTGGGCCAGAATGGCATCTCTGTGTCAACCATGGTAATTTCTGAAAGGAAAAATAGACCAGCTGTGAAGTTAAGTCCCAGAGAACACAACAATCTCACAGAGTTTCAGAAAGAGAAATGAAAGAGTCTTTGGCAAAGTAATCTCATCTAGGTTCTCACAACAAGAGAAAAGAACATAACCACCTTCTTAGTGCTGTCCAGGCTGTTTTATGATAGAAAGGAAGTCACCCTTTACCCAGGTATCATAATAGAGAATCCTGAAAGAGTGCAGACACATACAGTGTATCCATATAAACGCCTTGCCAACAGTCCTGCTCTCATTATCTTCTACAGAAGGTCATCAATTGAGTCTGTTAATGACTGCTGTTATTTAAAATTTTGTTCAGTTTTACTGAAGTATAATAGACAAAAATTTTTAAACTTAAGGTATACAGGCCAGGCACGGTGGCTCACATCTGTAATCCCAGCACTTTGGGAGGTCAAGGCAGGAGGATCACCTGAGGTCAGGAGTTCCAGACCAGCCTGGCCAACATGGCGAAACCTCATCTCTACTAAAAATACAAAAATTGGCCGGGTGTGGTAGCATGCCTGTAATCCCAGCTACTCGGGAGACTGAGACAGGAGAATCACTTGAACCTGGGAGGCAGAGGTGGCAGTGAGGCGAGATCACACCACTGCACTCCAGCCTAGGAGACAGAGCAAGACTCCATCTCAAGAAAACCCCAAACCCAACCAAACCAAACCAAAACAAAAAACAAAAAACCACACACACACACAAAAACTTAAGGTATTCAATGTGATGTTTTAATACATGTATTTACTATGAAATGATTATCATACTCAAGATCACTTCACACAGTTACCTTTTTGAGTATGAATATGTACAGTGAGAACACTTAAGATCTACTGTCTTAGCAAATTTCAAATATACCATACAGCATCACCAACTACAGTCACCATGCTGAAGGTGACCTATACTTAGGTCTCCAGCACTTATCCTGCATAACTGAAACTCTGGCTGACATCTCCCCATTGCTCTCGCCCTCCAGCCCCTGGCAAACACCATTTTACTCTCTGCTTTCATGAGTTCGACTTTTTTAGATTCCACGTGTTAAGTGAGATCATGTGGTATTTGTCTTTCTGTGTCAAACACTACCCAGTTTAATTATCTTAGCATAAAGTCCTCTAGGTTCATCTCTGCTGTTGCAAATGACAGGATTTCCTTCTTTTTTTAAGGTTGAATAATATTCTACTGTGTGTGTACATATATATCTTTATGTGTATATATGTATGTGTGTGTATATATATATTATATATGCATATATATACTGTGTTTTCAAAAATCCATTCATCCATTGACACTTAGGCTGATTTCATATCTTGGCTATTGGAAATAATGCTGCAGTGAACATGGGAGAGCAGACAGCTCTTCAACATCCTGATTCCATTTCACTTGGATATATACCCAGAAGTAGGATTGCTGGATCATATGCTAGTTCTATTTTTAATTTTTTGAGGCAGTCCATTCTGTTTTCCATAATGACTACACCAATTTATGTTCCTGCGAACAGTGTGCAAGGGTTCCCTCTTATTCACATCCTTGCCAACACTTCTTACCATCTGTGTTTTTGATAACAGCCATTCTAATGGGTGTGAGATGATATCTCACTGTTTTTGATTTGCATTTCCCTGATGATTAGTGATGGTGAGTACCTTTTCATATATCTGTTGGCCACTTGTATGTCTTCTTTCTAGAAATGGATATTCAGGTCCTTTATCATTTTTTTAACTGGGTTATTTGTTTTCTTGCTATTGAGTTTGTTGAGTTTCTTATATATTTTCGAATATTAACTCCATATCAGATGTACAATTTGCAATCCATAACTCCATATCAGATGTACAGATTTCCCTATTCTGTAGGCTGACTTTTCACTTTATTGATTATTTCCTTTGCTGTGAAAAAGTTTCTAGTTTGATGCAATCTATTAATGATTGTTTTTACAGTGTGCACAGGGTTCCAGGACAATTTTACTCTCTTGAAAGTAGAAGCCCAAAATATTTTTCTCTTTAGGATGAAATTTTTCCTATTCTACTTGTATTCATATGCTTCTGTGTAATAGAAAAGTTGGCAAATTAAATATAGGTAAATGAACTTCTTCTTTACTTGCATCCTAAAATAATTTTGTTCTTAATACAAAAATAAAAAAATTTTAAGGGGAAAATTACTCAATTATTATTTCTGTACTATGAAATATTACTCAAATAATTATCTTTTCTGTGGATACACCTTTTCTTAAAGAGGAGAAAGTTTTCCCCACATTGAGAATAGAAAGGTTAGAGAGATTTGTGGAAACATTTGATCACACCTGGGAGTGTCAAAATCAGACTCTAGCCCAGCATGGATTTTAAACCACCCCCAAAACAAAAACAAAACAAAACAGAGACAGAAACAAGAAAACACATCAAAGACAAAGGAAAGGCCGGGCGTGGTGGCTCACGCTTGTAATCCCAGCACTTTGGGAGGCCGAGGTGGGTGGATCACGAGGTCAGGAGATTGACACCATGGTGAAACCCCGTCTCTACTAAAAAAAAAAAAAAAAAAAAAAAATTAGCCAGGCGTGGTGGCGGGTGCTTGTAGTCCCAGCTACTCGGAGAGGCTGAGGCAGGAGAATGGCGTGAACCTGGGAGACGGAGCTTGCAGTGAGCCGAGATTGCGCCACTGTACTCCAGCCTGGGTGACAGAGCGAGACTCCGTCTCAAAAAAAGAAAAAAACAAACAAAGGAAAAATACTTATACAGATTCTAAGGCCATGGAATAGCAAGTTTCATGAATCATCTGCCCAATATCATATATGCCACATGCATTTTTCTAAACATGATTTATTGTCACAGTAAGTGCAACAAAACTCTTTTGGTTCACTTCATGTGAACTTGTGAGCTACCGAGTGTGTAGACTGGAAAACTTTCTGCAATAGGTACCTGGACTCTGTTTACCTGAAACCAGTTCATTATTCAAAGTGGTACCAAAAAGCAGTGATAAGTATTTTAAATGTTAACCCTGTGGTCAAAAACACCAGTAGAGAGCTGTGTAAATTTAGGACTGCTCACACTGGAGACAGAAAGGAGCTGCTCATAAACTCCAGGACTCCTCAAATCACAGGTGTATCTTTCTTGTTTGTAGTCATATCCCCATTGGCTAACAAAGGGCTTGTCTCATAGTAGGTGCTCGTTAAATATTTATTTATTAAATACTAAATACGTTGATGACTTAATGAGATAGCTGTGAAGTTTTAGCAGAAGGGGCAGGGAAGGAGGGAAGCAAACTGGTATTGATCAAGCACTTCCCATGTGCCTGGTACATCCTACATTTTCTTCTGCATAATCTGAAATATGATTCCCACTTTATAGATAACCAAGCTAGGACCAAAGAAGTAAAGTGAATTGCCCAAAGTCCTCTAGCTAGGAAGTAGAAGATTCAAATTCAAGACTAACCCTGAAACCCTCTTCTGTATATGTAGTATCCTCTTGATTCTCTCATTGATGAAACAGGCTTATGGAATAGGGGCCACTCTCCTCTGTGTATGTGTACATGGGCCTCTTGCTTTTCCTTTTTCTTTTCTTTTATCTATTTATCATTTTTTTGGAGCAATTTTATTTTAATGTCCTCACTTTAACACCACTTGCTTTTTCTTAACAAGCAGCTTGACAAGAAATTCACTCCAAAGGCAAACTTTTGCATTAGCTGAAGATTGAAGATTTCAGCTGTGATCTTCATAAGAAAAAATGCCTTGAGGCTGGGCTCCCGCCTGTAATTCCAGCACTTTGGGAGGCCAAAGAGGGTGGATCACCTGAGGTCAGGAGTTTGAGACCAGCCTGATCAACATGGAGAAACCCCATCTCTGCTAAAAATACAAAACTAGCTTGGCGTGGTAGTGCATGCCTGTAATCCCAGCTACTCAGGAGGCTGAGGCAGGAGAATTGCTTGAACTCAGGAGGCAGAGGCTGCGGTGAGCCAAGATCGTGCCATTGTACCCCAGCCTAGGCAACAAGAGTGAAATTCCGTCTCAAAAAAAAAAAAAAAAAAAAAGCCTTGAAAATATAAACAAGACTAGTCCTGTGAATGTGTGTCTGTGGTTTCAAGAGGACTAATTAGGTACTGTATGGGTTCACATGTCTATCTACATAAATAAGTACCCAAACAACCTTAAGTTATCTGTGTTTCAGTGTCAACACTGCACACCAAAAAGGGAAATGTGTACTGGTGATAGCTAAAGGTCATTCTAGGACTCAATGACACCCAGAGAAAAGTCTGTGCTCCTAAGGACAGGGCACCCATCCAACAGTGTCCTTTATTTCAAAATTCATCCAAACCTGTTTAACGCAGGTCATTCCATTTACTTTGCTGTCTCCTTGGCAGGCTTAATTTTCATTTCTGTACCTACTTTTCTTAGTATAACTTATTTTCATATTAAAGTATATTTCCTTTGTCTACACTGTAATATCCACAAAGGTGGGTTTGTCACCTATTTCTCACTATGCTATTGCAAAGTTTTCTGTATACAGAATAAAGGCTGACAAAGTGAGTTAAAGGTAGTGGATGTGCTTCTGTATGAATACTGGGAAAAGAAAATAAGGATGCAAAAATATCTGGGGTGGGAGAGAAATTGGTTGCTCATGATTTTACTGGTTTAATTTTGCTTTCATTTTTAACATAAAACTTCAGTGACTCCCTTTCAATCACAGCCATGCTTCCTTCTTTTCTCTCTTTCTCTCTCCCTCCCTCCCTCCCTCCTTCCCTTCCTCCCTTTTAAAGAGACAGCATCTCACTGTGTTGCCCAGGCTGCTCTCAAACTCCTGTGTTCAAGTGGTCCTCCTGGCTCAGCCTCCCAAACTTCTGGGAATATAGGCGTAAGCCACTGTGCTCAGCCAAAGCCATGCTTCTTATTACAAAAATCATATCCCTAGGGGTTATGTATTATACTGTGGAAATTCTGGGAAAATTTTAAATGTCAAAATAGCCTTCTCTGTGTTAAGGAAAGAA